ACACACACACACACACACACACACACACACACACACACACACACACAGTTATGAGCAGCAGGTAGAGGCGTCCGCCTGCTGAAGGTGTTGCAGTGCGTTTGGTTCTGCGTTCACTCGCAGCATGTCCACTTCCAGCGGGTGGAGCCGCCCGGTGACGACCAGCGAATGGAGCGGAGTCCCGAGGTCACATGACATCAGCTGACTCAGCGTTGCCGCGCGGATCGACTGGTCGTCAGCGCCGAGTCGGGCGACGCCCACACACACTGTGTCCTCCGTCATACCTGGAGGGGACACGGTAATCCTGTTAGCATGCTAACAGTTAGCATCAGTGAGTTAAATAACATCAGTTGTGTGTGATCTGTTCGGCCAATCAGAAGAGGGCTCACCCAGCTCCTCCCCCTCCTCCCTCCTCCTCTGGATGATCTGGATCAGCTGGTCTGCAGCCTGATTGACCGTCATGAAGCGAGGAGGCTCGTAGATCTTCTTCCCTCTGAAATCAATCAACCTCATGACAAACAACCTTTTTTACAGGGTTCAAGTTTAGTTGGGGCCGGCTCAGGTTTGCCATGGACCAGCCACTAGATACGCTGCTATAGATCCAGACTGGTGGGGGTCTATATACATATAATATATATGTGTATAATATATACACATTTTTCCTTCGTGTGGTTGACGTGAACAGAAGGATGGATGCCATCATTACGATCGATGAGTTTAGGAGAGAACACTTGTGTTCTGAGTGTTGGTTATAAAAATGAATTCAATCCTCCTGAGTTTGTTATGACATACTACACTATGATGCATCTTCTGGAGATCAAAGGCCACAGCTGAACCACGCATCATGTATGCGATACCAATGCCAATATCAACAGTATGTCAATTGCATGATAATCATGCATACAAGCTATTCACACTGTTTTCATTTTAAACATAAATGTGGAAACTAAAATGAGCGATGGCCTATTAGTGCCACTGCCATGCATAAAGATACCTGTTATCTTACATACAATACTGAACTATTAAAATGGACAGATTCATGTTTAGAGAAAAAAAAAAATTTGAATTGACTAATCAACCAAATATTTCGCAGACCCCCTGCAGTACCTCCACGGACCCCCTGTTGAAGACCTCTGCTCTAAATATTACAACTTAGTTCTGCTGGATGACATCACTATGACATGAGCTGCTAAAAACATCAATAGACCAGGTTCTGGTTCTTACCTCATCATGTTCTCGATGCTCTGCTCTTTGACTTTAATATCTGAAAGAAAAAAACAAAACTTTATTCTCACATTTCAATGAAAGAAACAAGTTGATACATATTTACATTATACTATACAAAGTATTACTGTAGAATACATAATTACATTACAGTTCATTTAAAGCTCAATTAAATGTCCGCTGCCACCCGTCGCCGCCCGTCTGTCTGTGTTGAATTTGCCGGTCGACCCTCATCTACCTGCATGCATGTCTCCTATTGTTGTTAGCTGTGTCTGACTGATTTATGTATTTCACACACTCTGCATGCTTTTATGTTTTGAGCCTCTGACGTGGATGTTTTTTAGTGTAACAGCTGCATCATAATATTGTCTTTAGTCCATGTTTCTATTTTAACATAGTCGTCCTTCATTTGATTTGCGTTGTGTGTGTTGACTTTGAGAGCCTCTGTGTTGTCTTGTTAATACTTGACAATGTATAAGAGTCTCCTGAGTGATGATAGTACGTAGATTAATATTCTCACTTTGTTCATTGTTTGTGCACGCATTGTAAAGCGTCAATATTGTATAACCTTTAAACTT